GTCCAATCAAACTGGAAAAAGTTTGAACAGAGTTTATAATGCAATCATAGACAAAAACATGAATCGTGAAAAGAAAAATATGAAAACATTTAGAATATTAATATTGTTTTTAAAAAATTAAGAATAATAGTTCAAATTCATTGAATTAGTTTTTTCAGGTAATATTTAATTTATCATATCAGGTTGTGAGCGCTGTTATCATGTAGGGTGACTAATATTACCTACAACAGTGATTCATGAGTTGTAACTCTGATAAAGTCAAAGTAATAACAGACAAGACAAAGTCATCAGCCCATTGTTTAGAAACTTAGAGCAAGGACGCTTGAATGCTAAATTCACAATGGGAATATCAAACTAATAATTGGCATGAAATTAAATATGATTACAACATATACAACTTAATATCAATCAAATATGAAAACAAAAACCCACAATGCAAATCAAACATTCCTTGATTGCCAAGATGAACTACCTGATTATGTAAAACAAAGGAGGGATCCATAAGCTACAGGTTAATCGTTTTAAAACAACTAACTATTAATGTGAATCTTCTGCAACCCAGCCAAGCATTTGATCATCATACTGAATAATTATTTATTTATTCATTATTTTTTAATGTATTCATTTTAATCCTGTCATTATTTACTCGTTAAGCTTCATTCTCCACCTGATATCCACTGTGATGAGATTAAGCTGAGTTCAGGGCTATACAAGAATAATAAGTATCTAGACTTTGCTTCATTCGTTTGGTTTAAAGTGTAAATATTTATTGGTTGTTGTTTGGGATTACAAGTTTTTTAAATTTAAAACATGTATTATTAATGTATATATTCCAGTCCACTTAATTTTTTAATTAATAATTTTTGTAAATTGATCATTCGATTTCATTTAACGTTAAAAATAGAAATATATATTTACACACACACACACAGAGAGAGAGACTAGGTCACAGCACATTACAGCCGCCCTGATTGGACGAAAACCACGTGATTCAGGTTTAAGCCTGAAAAAAAGATGGCGGCTCATTCCAAACTCTATAAATTTCACAGCAACGACTGAGCGAAACGAGTCTCTGAAAACATTTAATGCGACAAACCGGATGTTTAGTTAGTGTATACGTCATTATTTAAAAAAAAAACAGATGCTGGTTTTCCCCGAATCGCCACAGTTATCGCGTCACCGGAAGTGTTGCTAAGCACGTGTATAAACAGAACAAACATGGTTACTGTTTACATTGTGATAAACTCAGGGTTCTGCTTCGTGTCGCTTCAGTATCGGCCTTAAACCTTCACACACAGACATGACACTCACAGTTTTAGACTGTTCGGTGGATCAAAATAAAATCACGAAAATAAACAGCTCGTTAGAGGAGAAGTTACCCGAGAATCATCACATTTAATATATTATTATGTTAATGTAATGTCAAAGTAATTCGCTGAAAGCTGTCATCGCTTATAATACCACACGGCAAAGGAAAATTGATAATAGTTAATTTGGCTGATTTGATTCATAAAATGTTATTAAACTGCAGCTCAGAGTAACGTTTAAAATATCCGCTTACCCTGAACCAGAGTCCACATGCTGAAAGCCGAGCACAGGATAGAAGTCCACAGTGACGAAGAGTCCTTAAAGAACGAGTTGTACACAGACATGGTGGATAAAGTACACAGTCTGAATGAATGAATGAATGAAGGCTCCTCTCGACTGTGTTTCTGCCTCCTGCTCCCGAATATTCTCTCTGACACATTTTCTCTCCGCCGGTTGTTCAAATACTCTCGGTGTGTTTTGGAAATATGGGCGGGTCTAAACTCCACCCCTTTCTGTGTTGATTGGCTTAAAATGACATAATCAATACGCTCTTCCGGGTTAACTGTATGCTTGGTGTTTTCCTTGGCAATATTTGTTTATAGTTCTAGATTTTTCTTTTTTTTAATTGCGGTCAGCGATTTGTCATGTGATTTTTGTTTTCAGAAAAACGTCTTTGTTATGACAGATTGAATTGTTGATAAATGTCACCTGACAACGGATGATTTTTGATGAAATGAATGTTGCATTTCTTGTTTGTTTTGCGTAACTAATACTAATACTATGTGGAGGTAGAAAACGCAAAGTGTTTCTACAGACAAAAGCAAAACAGTGAATTCAAACAAAATAAGAAATTGGGGAAAATTATAAAACAATTCAAACAACACATATTTTGTAATAAATACCAAGTAAAGGCTTGAAAAAACGTTTTATCACACCATCCCTTTTTTTTGAGGGAAAGAAAACAAACAAACAAACAAAAGAATCTGTTGGCTGTAAATTGCTAATGCTACCCAGTCATATACAAAGTGTTAAGGCCAATATGTGACCCGCCTCCCACTGTGACACAAACTTCAATACAAGAGCAGTGAATTTAGGCCAAATGTGTAT